TCATTCTCTAAATGGCTTTCTTCCTATGACATGACAGTTTTTTTTTTAAAGATTTATTTATTTAAAGGGCAGATTAACAGAGAGAGAGAGAGTACACAATACAAAGGTAGGGGAGAGAGATGAAGAGACAGAGAGACAGAAGGATATCTGTTGGTTCACCCTCTGAATGTCTACAATAGTCAAGGCCAGGCCATGAGGAAGCCAGGAGCCCAGAACTGGATATGTGTTTCCCATGAGGATGGCAGAGACCAAAGACTTTGGGCATCATCCACTGCCTTCCCAGGCATAATAGCAGGAAGCTGAAAGAGAATTAGAGGAGCTGGCCCTTAAACTGACACTGATAGGGGAAGATGGTGTCCCAAGCGGCAGTTTAACTAACTGCACTGCAATACCAGCCCCATGAACAGCTTTTTGTTTTTTTGTTTTGTTTTGTTTTCTTTGGAAAATTGTTTTGAGATTTCATGGAGTCCTTAAAGTTTTTTTGAAGGGAGTGCATGCCTATTGAATTGTCATTCTTTGAACTCCAAATATTTTTTTTCATTTTCCAAAAGCATTATAAGAAAGTACTTTGTACTCCTGTACCCCAAGTTTTATCTTACACCATATAGGCACTGCTGATTAACTGAATAACATCATGCATATTCAATATATTTTCCTTTTTAAAGTTCCGTGATCAATGATGTTCAAAACTAACCACCTCCATATATTTCCATGTCTACATATCAAATCAAAGACAGAGTAGCCTGGGGATAATCACCCTCCACTGCTTCAGAATGTAAATGTGCAACATAATTTTAACAAGAGTATGAAAGGGTTGTACATATATGCTTACCCCATCCAAGGCACAGAAAGCGTTTCCTTATAAGCCGTGTCCTAATTTTTCCAGTTACAGCCATATAGGACTGCCACGCCTCAGTCAAAACCCAACAGAATGAAGCCAGGAAGAAAAAATGCAAAAACGCAGTGGTGGTTGTACAGATACTCTGCGGAAACAAACAAAAAAACAACTCCCATTGAGACTAGGAGGGAAATCTCGCATCCTTCAGGGGCTGCTCATGTCTGACTTACTGATTTAATTTCACATACCTACCTCTTCTCAGTGACTGAACAATTATTTACAGAAATTAGAAACCCTGTAGTCTTTATACTATGAACAAGATCTACAACAGAAAAAAAAAAGGAAGTCCTAATTCTATTTGCATTTAATTTTTTAAAGAGGAGAGCCATGAACGTAAATTTACATTCAGGGGAGATTAAAATTACTGCTTTACTTGAATTTTTTCCTGAAATATAATTATGAGAATGGTCCTTTATTTGATTTACATTACAGAGAGCTTGCATAATTATTTTGGTTACATTCTTTATCCTTCTTTTGTAACCAAGAAGGCTTCTTTGTTGTTTTATCTGCATTGATAGTAAGATTACATTTACAAGTACAACAGCCTTTCAAAAGGAAAAATTACTTTGCTTTTATACATGTGTGATATTCAAGGTATAATAACAAAGTACAAAATGAGGTTTGGCTAATAGCCTAGCACAAAACTAACATGTATTTTAAAAGCACTTAATGAACTGTTTCTGTGTTACTATACTGCGATGTGTGTCGTAATCAAGTCATGGGTAGTATACAGCTATGATTTCATAGATATTTTCTTCATGCAACTTAATCACTCTGAACATGCCAGCCATTAGTTATGACTTGTGTGCAAAAAATCAGCTGCTTCATTTTGGTAAAGGCTGCCACTTATTACACTATTGTTATAATTTCTTGGTGCAGATCATGCTGAACTGCAAACCATTTAAACCAAAGGCAGCAACAGAACTAATTACTTCCTTTGTACGTTTCAGTATTGCTGTTTCCAAAAATCGAAAAGACAAAGACAAAGGACATTGGAACTAAAAAATAACATTATAAAAGTTAAATAAATAAAACTAAAATGACCACCTTCCCAGATGTACTCTACTTCATCTCTAACGATGAATCTCTGACTAGAATTTTTATTTTTTGCCCCAAGGTATTCACATCAATTCTTTATTTTGTTGAATTTCACCAAATGTTATCTTAGCTTCCAGTTATTTGGATACTCTGAAAAGAACTGTAGCATGATTAGCACACCACAGTGTTTCAGTGATGACAGACAACCTCTAGAAATTGAGTAGCACTCGTCTAGACATACAGCACCTGATTAACCAGTTAGGACGATGGTCCTCATTAACGTAAGAAGCAATAAACAAAGTTAACACATTTCAGCATGTGATTCCTATTTCATGTAGTGGTTAAATCTACTTAGTACTTAAATTTGTGCTTACAGAGATCAAACTCCATATGATAAAATCATGGATTTCTTGAACTCTCTTCCTCACGTCTTTGTTCCTGTCTCAGGTAAAAGGTAGTAGCTTTAATTCTTTTTTTTTTTTTTTTGCACTTTTTACGCAGAAACTTTTCTTCTCAAAATTAAGGTTCAAATACCTCTAAGTTGACCACTTTGTTCATTTCTGATCTATAGTCCCTGATCCCAATTTGAATTTCAAAGATAACTCTCCTGTTCAATATCTGAAGATTAGTTACACTTTTAATTCACATTTCATTTCCTTTCACCAGTTTGTTTTATCTTAATTGTAAGTGCTGGCAAAGCTATTACTTCTCCATTTTTGAACAATCAATAAAAGCTTGTATCAACAAGCAATGTTAAAATGTTGAAATGTTTGACTCTAAGTGCTAGATGCACTGAAATTATAAGAAATAATGAATATTCAGTGTCTTAACAACAAATTAAAAAGCATATATATTGGGTTTGTTACTTTGGGACTCTCTGATATTCATCTTAATTCAAATACAATTGAGCTACATGTAATTTTAGGCTGCTGACATTTATTTCAATAATTCATGTCTCTGGGTAATAACATGGCTACAGCATGTGAGGGGACTACATTGTAACCAAAGAAATAAGGCCTAGTTTTATAAGCAATAACATCCTTTTATGTCCAAATGAATATTCGCTCTCAGTATGGAGGCAAGTAATCTCAATCCAAAAGGTGTGTATATGTGGACTAAACAGGTCTAAAGTCACAAAACTAGCCTTAACTTAAGATTATAGCAAAATCTTTGATCCTGAGAAACAGAAAAAGAGAACTACATTTGCTTTATCATCATGGGAAAAGTATATAAAATCAAACACTTGACACACCAATTCTCTACTCATATTCTGTGCTAATGCAAATAGTCTTTTGAAAATACAACTTTTATAAACGGCCACAAATGTCACATCAGCTTCCACAGAAGTGACCATTCCAACGTTTTGATCTCAAAATTCTTTGATTCTCTTATAAAACCTAAATCCCTCATCAGCAAACCTCAAACACATCCATTACATTCCCTCAGTATGGGGACGTTTTCTATTTATAAACCTGAAAGTCTGATTTTCTTTTTCTATAAATAGGTTCATATCTTGATACCAGTTACCAGTTCACTTATCAGTACCACGGGACTCATGATCAGAAACTCTCGTCTTACAGCTTTCCCAAGTTCAGCATTTGTTTGTCTGCTCTTGATTCCCACTACAACTGGGTACTCAAGTTCACCATTCCAAAGATGAACTTATGAGCACCTCTACTTCATCATCCAATTCTTCTACTTTACTTGCCTGGGCAAACTCCAATCTCATCCTATCAGTGTCACAGCTGACTTACACTGCTAACAAGTATTACAAAACATAAATTGGACTGAAGTTGGCAAATGAGTACTGTTTATAACCATCATTCTCAAGGATGAAAGTACTTCACAATGTACATTGAGAATGGAATTAAAAGATAAATTAATCTTGGTGCAAAAAAGAACTGACCCATGCTTAGGCAGGGTCTTCAAAAGGTCATGGGAAATATTATGAAAATGTTGCTGATGGATTGCAAAGTTTATTTGCACCAAAATAAAGTCTTTTAACTCAATTTTCCATGAATTTTTTGAAGTGTCCTCATACAGTTTTCACCCCAAATCCTTAAAGACAACAGAAAAGATATTTTAAATAACTGCAAAATGGAACTGTGAAGCAAGATGGATTAGGAACCATGTGAAACCTATGAAGACAGCAGATGAGAACAAATTGCAGACAGACACCACGGCTATATGTGGGGAGAAGGAATGAAGACGTGGAAAGTGGTTATGAGTTATGATACATAGATGGCATTAAGTTCTAATATCTATTAAAGGCACTTCCAGGAGGAATAAATACAGAAAATTGGGAGAAATACAGCATTTAGCATTATGGGAATTTTCTCATAATTAAAAAAATTCTTCTGGCTGTGGTGCATATTAAAGATGAAGTCCACTCACATACCTAGATATGGTGAGCATCAAGAATAAAGAGAAAAATCTTTAAAGCTGATTGAGTGAAAAAAATGATTACAGATAAATAAGACTGACATCATATTTCTTGTGATCAACCTAGGATACAAGAGGCAGCAAAATAATATCCTCATTATTGTTAAGGGAAAAAAAACTTTGAGGATGGAATTCTATAGCCAAATAATTATCCAAATGAGAGGTAGAAGAAAAGATTTATTTTTTAATTGAAAGGAAGTTTGCAGTTTATTACTCAAGATTATCTCTGAAAGAATTGCTATACAATATAAACCATCAATAAGAAAAACTCCACACTGAAGGAATAAGATGAAAGAAATCATAGATAGCAAAGAAAGTAATAAAAATATATTTTAAAGTAGACATTATACATATACACACACATATATATATATAACTATACATATATATGAGTGAGTCAGAAAATTAAACCACCTGCATACAAAATTCAAAATAATAGCAGTGAGGTTTAAAATATAATAGGGATGTAGCCGGCGCCGTGGCTCAATAGGCTAATCCTCCACCTTGCGGCGCCGGCACACCGGGTTCTAGTCCCGGTCGGGGCGCCGGATTCTGTCCCGGTTGCCCCTCTTCCAGGCCAGCTCTCTGCTATGGCCAGGGAGTGCAGTGGAGGATGGCCCAGGTGCTTGGGCCCTGCACCCCATGGGAGACCAGGAAAAAGCACCTGGATCCTGGCTCCTGCCATCGGATCAGCGCGGTGCGCCGGCTGCAGCGGCGGCCATTGGAGGGTGAACCAACGGCAAGGGAAGACCTTTCTCTCTGTCTCTCTCTCTCACTGTCCACTCTGCCTATCAAAAAAAAAAAAATAAATAAATAAATATAATAGGGATGCAATTTGGAAGGTAGCATACAAGAAAATGAAATATGCTAAGGCTCTTTTTTGTTGTTTTTAGTGATATTTATTAGCTCTGAATGATAGAAAAATATTTTTGAACATTTTTGTTAATCATGTAAAGGTAACCACAAAAAAGTAGAAACATAATTTATTTGTAAAATAGCAGAGGAACAATAGAATTAAGAAAAATTGATCAGTCCAACAGAAGGTGGGCAGGGAGATCACAACCTAGAAAACACGTTAAGAAAGAAAATAATAATTCCAAACATCCAAAATAACGATAAATGGAAATGCCTAAAATTCAATGGTTAAAAATTAAAAATTTTCATATTGATTAAAAAAATCTAATTCCAGTAATTTTTATAAGACATCCCTCTAACCCAATGATACAGGGAAACTGAAAAAAAGAAAGATGAAAAGAGCTATATTAAGCAAATGTTAATATGCAAAAATCAGATGCCAAAATGTTAATATTGGAGAAAACATTAAAAGAAATGAAGGATTTTCATACTGATAAAAGGAACAGGCCATTAATAAGTTTCAGAGGTAACATATATTATGAAACGAATAATAATTTTTCGAAGTATATGAAACAAAAATTGGGAAAACATGAAGATGGACTGTCAAACTAAGATTATAATGAAAGTCTTATACCTCTGAGAAGGGCATGGAAAAATAACAATATGGAAGAGTATATTAACACAATGAATACAAGTGTTTTACTTTTTTCTTTGAACTACTGTACATAAAAAAAACCAGAAGATGCACAATTCTTTAAAACACAAACAGAACATTTATAGATGCAAACTAGTCTTGGTGTAATAAAATAAACTCCAGAAAGTTTATAGCATACCTAAAGACAATAGCACAATAAAAGTAGAAATCAAAATTTTCAACCATTGAGTGGAAAAGCTTTTAAATAATTAATGAATTAAGGGGAGGCTAACATCTAAATTATAAATTACATATAATAAAATTGAGGAAGCAGGTATACAAAAAATATTTTGCTATGGGAATTCTCAACATACTCATAGATATAAATAGATTAAAAAACAAGAGAAAATGAAAACAAATGGGGTACATAAAGATGTCAGAAGACAGAATTTTAAAAGGATAAAATCAGAAATTAGCAAAACAGAATTTTTTGTAATTAATAATCATGTCTGAAACCAAACCCAAGCCTGAAAGGCCAGTAAAGCAACTACGCCTCAGCAAAGTAATATTTGTAAGCAACAGAAAAGACAAAATAGTAACACTAAAATGAAAATGACTGGGGCCAGTGTTGTGGCATAAAGAGTCAAGCTATGGCCTGCAATGCTGGCACCAAAAGGGGAGGCAGGTCAGAGTCCCTGCTGCTCCACTTCCTATCTGCTCCCTGCTAAGGTGCCTGGGAAATCAGTGGAAGATTGCCCAAGTACTTGGGCCCCTGTACCCACGTGAGAGACCCAGGAGAAGTTTTGAGTTTCTGATTCAGCCCCAGCTATTGCAGCCATTTGTGGAGTGAACCACAGATGGAAGATTCTCTCTCTGCCTCTCTGTCTCCATATATATCTGTAACTCTGACTTTTAAGTAACTAAACACATTTTTTAAAAAGATCATAATGATAGCATGTAATGTATACATAAAAACTTGAAAAGCTACACAAAATGAAAGTTCTACCAGTGAAACATGAGTTATTGAAATTGGCCTGAGTGATAAAATGGAATAATGGTGAGAGAAGTAACCCTTCAAAAGAGATAAAACATTTAGAAAAATTAACAGGCAAATTTTAACAAATGTAAGCATAATATAAAATTCCCATTTTAGAAAAACATTTTCAGGCTAAAGCAAAAGAAGTATCCAGCTCATTTTACGAGGAGGCTAATTTTGATACTAACATGAGCAAGAAACCTATAAAGCACTTGTGTTTAACGACATAAATGCATAAGTACTAAATAAAAGCTAAACACAGAAACACAATATAAGGATAACAAATCAGTATCAAATCAGAATGTGTCCACTAATGCAGGGTGATTTAATATTAGATATCATTTCCATAGAATTTCATTCTGCTATGGTTTGGATATGGTTTGAGTGTCTTCCAAAGCATCTTATGTTGAAATTTAATCTCTATTGTGAAATATTAAAGAAAGTGGAAAGTTAAACCTACTATGGTGTTTGGAGGTAAGGTCTTCCGAATCCTAGTGGCTTTTGAAGGAAAGAGAAAGAGAAAGAGAAAGAGAAAGAGAAAGAGAAAGAGAAAGAGAAAGAGAAAGAGAAAGAGACAGAGACAGAGACAGAGACAAAGACAAAGACAAAGACACACATACATAATTGCACTCCTGTCCCTTGCTAAGTATGCTTTGGGCTATCTCAGGAGTCTGCCTGCAAGAAGTCCATCACTAGATGAGGCCACTCGATCTTGCACATCCAGAACTGTGAGCCAAAAGGTACCTCTCATCTTTGTAATGAGGCCTATTTCAGGTATTCATTATGGTGATGAGAAAGGATTAATATAATTACACTAAGAAGACAATCATGTAAATATACACATGTGAAAACATTTGATAAAATTCAGAACTCAAATTTTCACCAAAGTATTTGCAAATTATGAATAGAGGAGACTATTCTAATTCTATGAAAGTTGTTTATCTAAAACAAAGTAAAATCATGTTTAACAATCAAATATTTGCAAGAGAGAAATGTCAGATTACTCTCAGAGGATCTCCAATTAGACTCACAGCAGACTTCTCATCAGAAACCCTACAGGTTAGGAGGGAATGGCGAGATATAGCCCAGAGATTAAGAGAGAAAAACTGCCAGCCCAGAATATTATATCCTGAAAAGCTCTCATTTGTGAATGAAGGTGAAATGAAGATCTTTCATAGCAAACAGAAATTGAAAGAATTTGTTGCCACTCGTCCAGCACTGCAAAAGATGCTCAAGGATGTGTTACACACAGAAACACAGAAACACGGCCATCAATATGAAAGACGGTAAAGGAAGAAAACCTCAGAGTAAAAGATCACAGGAAGTTAAAAGCATATATTAGAAAATATCTTTGGGAAAATGGCAGGGCAAAGTTACTACTTACCAATAGTCATATTGAACATTAATGGCCTCAACTCTCCAGTTAAAAGACACAGAGTGGTTGAATGGATTAAGGATCCAAACCCATCTATTTGCTGCTTACAAGAAACACATCTTTACAATGAAGATCCATGCAGACTGAAAGTGAAAGTTTAGAAAAAGACATTCCATGCCAACAGAAATGAAAAAAGAGTGGGTGTAGCCATCTTAATATCAGACAAAATAAACTTTAACAAAAAAACAGTTAAGAGAGACAAAGAGGGTGTGGGGAGCAACCCGGACTGGACTAAGTTACTGGAATTAAGACTTATTCTATGCATCTGCTCTCCCACAATATGGCGCTGGGAGAGGAGGAAACAGCTTCTACACAGCTGCCTCCAGTTCAACCAATAAACAGCAGGACCTGCTCCTGATTGGAGGAGAGCAGCGTACTCGGCATGTGGGTAGCAGAGTTGGGATTGGTGGAAGAGGACTATAAAGGAGGAGAGAGACAACATGCACCAGGAACATCTATCTGAAGGAACATCTGTGCAACCCCCGAGAGAGCCGGCCAGTGGTGTGCCGCTCCCCCGCGGAAGTGGGGAAAGCGGCAGGGGGAACCGCCCTTCCACGGAGGTGGAAGGGATGGTAGCCAACCCGGGAAGAACCAGCAGCAAACCCGGGGAGGGCCGAGCAGACAAAAGAACAGCACAGGGTCCTGTGTCATTCCCCCACGAAGAGGGGGAGCGACAGAGGGAGACACTATATAATGATTAAAGGATCAATTCAACAGGAAGATGTAACTATTATCAATGTATATGCAACTAATTACAAGGCACCAGTTTATTTAAAAGATATGCTAAGGGACTTAAAGGGAGATGTAGACTCCAATACAATAGTACTGGGGGACTTCAATATTCCATTCTGAGAAATAGATCAACCGGACAGAAGATCAACAAGGAAACAGTAGATTTAAATGACACTACAGCCCAAATGGATCTAACAGATATCTACAGAATTTTCAATATTACACTTAAAGAATTTACATTCTTCTCAGCAGTGCATGGAACCTACTCTAAGATTGACCACATACTAGGCCATAAAGCAAGTCTAAGCAAATTCAAAAGAATTAGAATCATACCATGCAGCTTCTCAGACCACAGTGAAATGAAGTTGGAAATTAGCAACTCAGGAATCCCTACAGTGTATGCAAACAAATGGAGACTGAACAGCATGCTCCTGAATGAACAATGGATCATAGAAGAAATCAGAAGAGAAACCAAAAACTTTCTGGGAGTAAATGAGGATAACAGCACAACATACCAAAACTTATGGAATACAATAAAAGCAGTGTTAAGAAGAAAGTTTATAGCAATAGATGCCTATATCAAGAAATTGGAAAGGCACCAAATAAATGAGCTTTCAGTGCATCTCAAAGATCAAGAAAAACTGCAGCAAACCAGACCCAAATCTAGTAGGAGAAGAGAAATGATTAAAATCAGAGAAGAAATCACAGGATTGAATCAAAAAAAATTACAAAAAATCAGCCAATCGAAGAGCTGGTTTTTTGAAAAAATGAACAGAATTGACACAACATTGGCCCAACTAACTTAAAAAAGAAAAGACCCAAATCAATAAAATCAGAGATGAAAAAGGAAACGTAACAACAGACACCACAGAAATAAAAAGAATCATCAGAAATTACTAGAATGACTTGTATTCCAGCAAATAGGGAAATCTATCAGAAATGGATAGATTCCTGGACACATGCAACCTACCTAAATTGAACCATGAAGACATCGAAAACCTAAACAGACCCATAACTGAGAAAGAAATTGAAACAGTAATAAAGGCCCTCCCAACAAAGAAAAGCCCAGGACCGGATGGATTCACTGCTGAATTCTACCACACATTTAAAGAAGAACTAACTCCAATTCTTCTCAAACTACTCAGAACAATCCAAAAAGAGGGAATCTTCCCAAATTTTTTTAGGAGCCAGCATCACCTTAATTCCTAAGCCAGAGAAAGATGCAGCATTCAAAGAGAATTGCAGACCAATATCTATGATGAACATAGATGCAAAAATCCTCCATAAAATTTTCGCCAATAGAATGCAACAACACATCAGAAAGATCATCCACCCAGACCAAGTGGGATTTATCCCTGGTATGCAGGGATGGTGCAATGTGCACAAATCAATCAACGTGATACACCACATTAACAGACTGTAGAAGAAAATCCATATGATTATCTCAATAGATGCAGAGAAAGCATTCAATAAAATACAATACCCTTTCATGATGAAAACTCTAAGCAAAC